CAAAGAAATTACGGAGGCTATCACTTATCACCTGAACAAAGATATGGCTCCCATCAACACTATGCAAAACGAGGGATTTAGGAAAATGATCAACACCCTAGACAAACGCTACACAGTGCCGTCCCGCAACTGTTTTTCTATTGTTGCACTACCTGCTCTATACACGCAGTGTCGAGCAACGGTGGAGACGGAATTTCAAGCAGTACAACATTTTGCGGCAACAACAAAACGTGAGACATTTGTTGTTTTTATGTTCAGTCTCACCTGTTACGAAGTTGATGTGCAGTTAATAAGTGCAATAAATATTTATACTGGAAAAGAAAATCGTGAGAGAATCGTGATCTCAATTCTAAGCCAAAAAATCGTGATTCTCATTTTATGCAAAATCGTGCAGCCCTAGACTCAACACTAGTCAGGTGTTTTTAGCACATCAAGGTTTTCTGAGTGACATTGTGTCCTTGTAAATGATTTCACAATAGCGCGGTCTTAATATTACAGTGGTCATGACACAACAGTAAGCAGATCCGGCAGGATCGCTAAACCTGCTGATTAAATGACACACAGGCCAAAACAGTTATGTCGAGTATCTGTAAATAGAAAAACATGTTACGACAGAGCAACAGTTTGTCGGTGAAGTGCTCACATCAAACGGTGGGAGATGAAGAAGGATTAGTAAGGTGAGTAAGTGCTCCAAATCCTGCTGTTTTGAAAATGTCACGATAATACAGCCAGGTTTTGTCTGCTGAAGTTCAGCATCCACGGAGAACAAAGGAGAGACGTTTCAGAAATGCTTTTCTTTCTCTCAGCTGCAAAGGCGTCCAATCAGATGAAGCATAGCCACATTGAAAACTCTGATTTTATTTTAGCTGAATGTAAATAATGTCTTGGCACACATGCCTTCCCTGAAAGGGAGTGAGAAAAGGACATGAAAAAAAAGAGGGGGTGACCACATATGAGAAAATCCACGGGAGAAAAGTATGCCTTTATCTTTTAATAAACGGTAAAGCCAGGAGGCAACATGAAATTACAGCATAATAGCAGTGGAGAGTCTTCTGAAGACTTAATTGCCTTAATTATAGCAGTGCGGAGAGAGAGAGAGAGAGAGAGGGAGCAGGAAAGGAAAGCATGAGCAGAAGGAGGAAGAAGGAAAAAAAAACAAGGGAAGCAGAGGAGAAGAAAGGTAGCAGTGGGATAGAAGAGCTGGAGCGTGAGACAGATGTTGCAGGTGTATCCAGGTGTAGTTCGGTTTCCACGTGAGCCTGTGTTTTTCTGTTAAACATGCATTTATAAACACACACGGATGGCTCTGTGTGTGACACAGAGTTAATATGCCAACCCTCGGTCCGTGTGAATGACGGAGTGAGTTCTACACTGAGAAGAGACTCTTTCCAGATGAGTGAAAATTTCGCTCCCTCAGATCTTACAAGCTGGCAGGTTTACTTAGGGATGCTAAACATAGCTTTCATTTTCCTCTGCGTCTAGACTGAGTCCTCAGTGCTTTCTGCTGCGGTTTTTGTTCACTCGGGGACGATTGTACCCTAATTCTAATGTCTCCGAGCCAGCGGGAAGTTTGTTTAGCCAGCATTATTGTGAAGTACCTGTAAACCCCCCCAACCACCATTTTGGCAGGCAGTTCGGGTTGAGAGTTCAGCTGACTTTTGAGCATGGATGACTGATCAAGAGAGGGAGAGAGATCACGTCTCAGCTTTGAGAAAAATATTAACTTTTTGCAGGATTTCACAGTGAGACAGTTTTCGGTTTGCCTTGTTTTTGACCACCTCTGTTTGCCTCGCAGGGGTTTTGTCCTCATATGTTTACTTTTTGATTCATGGATAAAGATCAAATCTTACAAACTACTGTTGGTTGAGTAAAAAAGTACAAAAGATGGGGAATCATGGTAATCTAATATTATCTGAACACTTTATAGTGTTTCAAGTTCTTGATCAGTGAATCTCCACTGGTGAAAGAAGCTCTGTTTAAATATACTTCACTTCAAAGGTGTCAAAAGTAAAAGTACTTCTGCAGTAAAATGATCTTCTTAGTGTTTATTATATTTTTTATTATAGATGACATTGTTATTCACTCATTATCACAAACCGGGGTGCTTGGGAGTAACTTAAATAACAGTTTGTTGTATTTTATGAAATTACACTACACTAAAGAAATAGTTCCATAATTACATCACTACATTTTATCATTGTCCACATATGTAATATGTTGACAATGTACCAGTACATGGTGGTAAATATACCACCAAAATTCCCATCTCCTTGTTTCTTGAACAATTCACCCTTTAATGTTATATTAGTTTTTATAAAACCCAAATATTGTAAACTGTTACTTGTCAGGCAACTTTCTGTCTTATTGCAACATTCATCGCTGAAATAGCTGACAGCATCGGTCGGTCTTGATCTCGTCTTTAAGTACGAATGAGAAGATCAAAACGCCATCGTGACTTCCTTCCCGATAAGCTTAATGACCAGACCTCTTTGAAATCCCTGTTGAATCTCAATGAAAGCCCACTTTTCTACTGTGCAATTCATCTTTTTTTGAAAGGTTTACCACAGACGACTTGGTGCTGTCTCAGATTTCTTGCACAATGTCTCGTTAAACCCAGTTTGACTCACTGAAACAAACCGTATTTTAGTTCTGAGCAAATTTTTTAACCGTATTAATCCATCTTTTGGTGTCCGAAGATTGTAATTTTTTTATGGTGTTTTTTTAAAGCAAGCCAGTTTGCCTGTGGGTGCATTTTTGTTGTCATCAGGCAAGTCCCTGCACTGCAGCGCGGGCCTGCCCGAGTGGAGATTCTTCAGGAGGGAGATCTCTTTCTTCTCAAAGCGTCTTACCAAGAGCTATTAATTATTAACTGGGAGAGCTAACATCAAAGGAGCAGACTTGTGCTGAATTAAATGGGGGCTGGAGCCTGGCAGCGTGGAGCTGAGAGAAAACTGGGTGAGAGGGAAAAGCCGATTCCACACCGCTCGCTTTTGAACTTTCCAAGTACAAAAGTTAAAGAAAAACGGAGAAAGAAAAGAGCAATGCTAGTTTATGTAAAGGAAGCAGAACGAAAGAGAAAGTTGGAAGCGCTTGTATTTATTGCGTGTTGCTGTTGTTTTTCATGGGGCTTTCCTTCACTGCTGGGAATGATTGATTCAGTTTGTTTAGTTAATTAGTCTTTAATGAGCTATGAAAGCCAGATTCATAAACATCTTGTCTATGGATTAAGCCAAGGGGAAATCTAATTAAGACAGCTTGAAATTCAGAGACATGATATGTTTACATTTTCCTGAAGCTGATGTTCACTCAGTCACTCAGAGTCAAGCCCCCCCCCCATCAGAGGACTTTTGTTCCTTTTGTTTTTCTTCCCCTGTGCTGTAAAATAAGCCCATGTACTGAAAATCTAACTATTCTATACAGTTTCATTATTTGCTGTGAATGCAAATAGTAACAGTGGACTGTGTAAAGGAATTAAAAGCTGCCAGTTAAGTTGGAAAAAGTTTATTTCAAACTTGCTTTAACTTCACCTGCTTGTTCTTGGACAGCTATGTTAATCATTACCACCTTCCTACAGACTCAGGAAACACAGGAAACTTAAGAGTGTCACGCAAGCATCCTGTAGAAGAGCTAATCTAGGGTAAAGTCACAAAAATGATATTAAATAATGGATTATTTTGAATTTAAAAGCCTTTTTACTTTTCTTCACTCCTCATTTTTACACAGGACCTTTAGTGGCCTGTTTTTACAATTCTCTGCCATCCTATAGACTCACTCATGACAAGTAATTGATAAATTAGTCAGCAATTATTGTCAGTTGAAGCCTTTGTGACATGATGTGCCATATAGCTACCAATTAGACAAATAAAACTTGAATAGCGCACCGAGGGCTTTACAAGCCTTTGATTTGAGGAGCGCTGAGGGCCTTTTTGAGACCCACGGTGGTCTTTCTACTGAACTACATGGCTGCCTTTTTGACAAATGATGTTGAAAGTTGCTCAACATCCCATTGTTGAATGTTGTTACCTCAGAAATCAACATGATATGTTGGGAAAAGAGCAATTGTGCCTCCCCCGCACATACCACCGCTCCCTGTCCCCACTCCGTGTCCGTCCTCCGTGCCTGCAGAGTGGAGCGGTGACACTCTGCAGCCAGTCGGCAGCGGAGTCACAGCACTGTGCATTGTCACTTTGATCTTCACCCCCCGTCCCTGTTCCCTCCAGTTATGAAGAACGCTGGCAAGAGCCCAAGGGCACTTGATAATACCAGGATATGATCCAGCCGCGCTCTTTTAGATCATGTAGTGTAGACATCAAAACGCTGTCTAAATAGGGCACCGTGAATCAGGCGGGGTGAGAACGGGTTGTAGGGGAAGGCAGGAGTTAAGATAAAGGAACTATTTTTTTTTTTTTTTTTTTTTTCCCTGACGAGGGGAAGCCAATTTGGATTCTGCAAGGAGATACTCAGGGTTCTGCAGATCCAAGCATTTCCTTTATCTTTTGCCTTTAGCAGAACTCTTCAAAAGGCCTCTGTGTTATGACTTTCCCCCCTCTCAGATGAAAGGAGCTCACAGTTTTAACAGCAGGAAATCCATGATAACTTTATTTAACTTTTCTAAACCTGCACAGCAGAGTTGCATCACATGGAGCTGTGCATGCGTTAGTTCCTTACGGAAGTGTTTAAGTCTCTGTCGTATTATTAACTTAATATTGCGCAGATATACGTGGAATGACTTCATGGTGGAGAAAGCCACATGTGCATCCAAGCAAATGTTGTCCCCGGCTTGTTTACGTCTCATCTGTTCGGTTTAATTTTTCCTTCTCGTTTTCTCACTTCAGATAATGTGTGTGAAGGTTACACTCGGGCAGAGAACTCCCTCTAGTGGCCTTGAGTAAAATGTGAAATCCAACCTTGGGAGTTGAGTGTCTTTATCGGTATGATTATGCATTCCCCGGCTATTTTTCCTCAATATATCTAATGATTACTTTGTTCTGTGTTGGCAGGCAAAGAGAGCGGTGCAGCGGGGAGCCACAGCCGTCATCTTTGATGTATCTGAGAATCCGGATGCCATCGACCAGGTTTGTACACACAGAGAATTACTCCGGCATTCACGCTCTCAACAGCACTGAAACAGTCTAATCTGTCTCGGTCTCTCCGTGAAAGACTCTCCGCTTTTCATTTCTGAATGAAGCTTAGCAGCTTGCCCTGCCCTTCTGGCTGGCAGTGTATGAGTGTGTGTGTGTACAAACAATGATCTTTCTATCTTTAGTTCTGTTCAAAAGCACGCGGATCAGCCTCGCGCATTCAGCCATTCCGGGCCTTTCAACTCTCCCAACTTGTGTTTGGAGGAGTGCACTACACTCTGTGAGGACTGAAAATTGATATCCAGGTTCAGCTTTCACTAGACCATGACCAAACTCTGTTGAGCTCACAATTGCACAGGTAGCATACTTTACCTCACCTCCTGAGAGCGTTCTTTGAGTGCAAGTTTAGGGGAGCACAGGCTAAAGTAAGAAAGCATATCTCTTGTCACACAAATCGAGACAGTATTCCTGACTCCCGTGTCTCTGCCGTTAAGAGGTATAATACTCGAGTTGCTCCTCTTGAACGCCTTTGTCGCAAGAATTCTCCTGTGGTATTCATCCCTGCCACACCAGGCCTGGACTTGCAGGGTTTTTTTTCCCTCTCTCCTCGCCTCTTCTTCTCTGCTGCCGGATCATAAAGCGCGTAGCTGAGAGATAAAAGGGATTGCGCGCAGACCACATGAAAGGCAGCGCTAGGCGGCTGTGTTAAATTCCCCCGAGAGGCTTTTCCAGTCAGAGCAGCCCGATCAGCAGAGACAGGAGTCACAAGGCCGAGGGGCAGGGAGGAGGAGCTTAAAGAGAATTAAGGTCCTGGGGCCAAAATTAGGAGAAGCTTTATAAACTTAATGTACTTGACCTCCTTTTTCCTCTGTTTATACTGTAATGTGGGGCCAAGTGCCACTTGTTTTGGGAAAAGTTAAGTTTATGGTTAACTTTGTGCTTGTGTACTGTATTTTTATTTTTAGCTAGTTTTTATTGGGGCATTACTTGTTAAAGGGGAAACTCGAGTTGCAGTGGAATCGTTTCTCAGAGTAAGAGCAGCTCACCAGAATCAAGCGGGAGATCAAAAGTTTCAGCATCTATACTTTTAAACCAGAACATACAGTAATTCACTGGGGAACATGACGACAGCAGAAGAAATAGCAATGTGAATATATCTTCGGTATTTCCCTTGGGCTTTTCAAATTACAGATTCCAACCAGCAGACGAGCGGGAAGAACAGAGAGGGCGAGGAGGAGTAAAGGAGTATGCCAACTGACTCAAAAGCCAGAACATACTATTCACTGACTATTTCCTCCTACTCCCTCTGGCAAACGTGGCCGCAGTTTCCATGTCTCGGGCCTATAGGTCATTTTTCCCAGCTGGGAAAAGTTTAAAACTTTTTACATTCACAAAGGTCACCGGTTTCTCTTTGCCTCATATCCTCTTTGTCTCACACTACATATGTTAATTGGTCTAGAACAATCCACCAGAGAGTGGTTTAAAATTGTTGGAGTTGAATAAAAAAGAACAATCAGTCCTGGGCATAATTAAAAAGGCCTCATTTTTGCATATTTGACACAAATGCATTTGAGCTCAAGGTTTAATATCCACAGACCAAACTTCAGCTCAAGCAACCCTTTCCATTAACTGTTTTTACATATATAAAAACAGCTTGAAATTAAAACTATAATGGAGCTAAAAAAAAACAAAGGTTCAACCTGTCCGTACCTCCATATTGCAGTGGTCTGCTTTGATTCCAGACAGACACACACATCTCCCCTGGGGTTTGCGACAGGAAGGGGATCTGGCTTAAGACTTTGCCTGAATCAAAACATGCGGAGCGACCCACTGTGGCGTCCCCTGGAGACGAGGGATCCGCTATTTCCACTAATTAAGGAGGAAGGGTAGTTCTGACTGTGAAAGCACAAACTTATCGGTTAACTTGCGATTGACTAATACCACAGATAATCCTCCATTATGAAACAGAATAACCGAGATTTACAAAATAGACTGAAAACTAGTGACCGAGTGCATAAGCTCAACAGTAAAGTGTTTACAGGGTCAGTACAGAAAGAGGTTCACCCACACTTCTTTAGGACCAGAGCTCTGATTGGAACCATAGCTGTCGCCACGAACAACACTGGAAAGCTACGTCCATGTTTTATGGAAAAAAAAAAAAAGAAAGATGATTTTTTTTGATCATCTAAAAATAACCTACATATAAGAAAGCCTTAAACAGTAACATTCAGATAATGTGAGTTTCTCTCATTATCTTCACACGAGGTCTCACGTGTCTTCTTTCTCTGTCTCCTCTTCAGCTCAACCAGGTTGCTGAGGATCCCTTGAAGCGGCCGGTGGTTTACGTGAAGGGCAACGACGCCGTCAAACTGATGAACATCGTCAACAAGCAGAAAGTGGCCCGTGCTCGGATACAACACAGGCCACCGAGGGTAAGTGCTTACTCACAAAAAACCCTCAAAATCGCTCAGTGTAGATGGAGTGCATGTGTGTGGGACAAATCTCAGGCGCATGTGAGGAACTTGGGGATGAGGTGAACATGTTTGTGAGGCCCACGCGGCAAAACGGCGCAGAGAAGCTTTGGATGTGAAGACAAACGAAAATTCCAGCTGTGAAATCTGACCCCTATTCCTTTCTTCTCTGCTCTTTGCTGCCCCGAGGCCAAAGACTTTTTCGCAGCACTTTGAGAGATTAATATCAGCCGTTCAAAGAGCTGTTTGTTTGCTTGGAATATTTGATAAGAGACCTGCACACTTTGAGGTCAAATAACTTGACATAATGAAACCTCAAGAGAAAGGATTGGTGATGAGAGAGACTTTTCAGGGAGCAGTAGTGTAGCAGTGTAGTAAAAAAACAAAAACAACGTATTATTATTGCTACTGACTCGTTTCAGCTCTAGTCTGCAGAATGGTCTCAACTGTGTAGTTGTAGCTCGAACCTGTGCAAATTACTGACAGAGTGAGAAGACAGTGATGCACACGGCAAAGTGAACTGGCCAGCATGCATAATCATCCACGTATCTGTTCTTTAACACGCCACTGAATTATGCATGAAGGTCGCATTTTATATTATTTGCATTGAGCGGCGAATGAGTCACAGCTTTGCGTGTTCTGGTCTGCTGAGCAAGTAACAAAAACTATAATCAAATATGTCGAAATGCCAGTAAAAGGAATTTTCTTTCTTTTAAATGCAAGTCTTTATACGATGAAATAACCCTTTTAATGAGACGCATGTGTTTCTGTTGCTTTCCTTTTCCCACAGCAGCCCACAGAGTATTTTGACATGGGCATCTTTCTGGCCTTCTTCGTGGTGGTGTCGTTGGTTTGCCTCATTTTGCTCATCAAGATCAAACTGAAGCAGAGAAGAAGCCAGGTTAGTGAGGAGCTCAAATAACTTGAGAAACTGTTTCATAATATGCCAGTCTGTGTGTGTCACAACCAAACGTATGCCAGCGTCGTGCTGAAAACACACCCAGATATACAACGCCATGCCTTGTTTTTCCAGTCAGCACGACTTTAGTGGGAGTTGGAGGCGTTGCGTCAGGCGACAGAAGCTCTGCCGCTGATTGATTCCCCTTCTGTGCCGACAAAAAGCTCTCGGTGGAGGCTTACGTCGGGTGCATGAATCAGGATTAGCATTCAGTTAATGCTGATGCGAGGCTGGCTGGAGGAGCCAAGCGTACAGAGATGTCATGACGGCGCGTAAAACCTGTCGCGGCATTCGTCGAGACAGGTGTAATCCTGCCAGCAGACATTTGTGTCTGCGTTCGCAGCCTGTGCACACTTTCCTCCTTTTTATGTGCGTGTGTATGTGTGGCTATGTAAGGGGGTGTGTGTCGCAGCAGCAGATGACGTGGTCGTGACTTCGTTTGGTGGTTAATTAAGTGAACTCGCCTCACACCGAGGGCGGATTTATCACACGTAACAACCATTTCCTTCTCAAAATGTGAAGAATTAATGAACTGCTTGTGGTGTAAATATTGCTTAAACAGTAACTGTAAATCCATTACGTTACTTTTTTGGTTTTAATGAAGGATTCCTCAAGGGATCGTCCTCGCGCGACTCGAGTTAATTAACAGACGGAAAATCCTGAACTTTTAAAGTCCTCGTGTTTTCTGTTTGTTAACCCTGTGATGGGAATTCCTTTCATCCCAAATTCATTGCTCTCTTGCTAATCAGGGTGTGGGTTGTGACCTGGGATAATACCCTGTGGAGACGTGATTTAGTTAAGCCAGAGCATAAATAACCGTGTCTTGTAAACAAGTGATGCACCATCAGTTTAGGCACTCAGTACTATAAATCACAATGTCTGCTCCACACGAGTCATTTAGTTTAATCCTAGTAGGCAGCTCTGTACGTGCCGACTTATCAGTCAACATTTCCTAATAAGTAACAATTTTAAGGCAACGCAAAGCAAATTAAAAGATGAAACGAGGACAGGGAATTAAAACCAGAAAGATGCTCATGCATCAGTGAAATATTGCAAAATGATGCACTGTGTCAGAGGGAGAAGTGTTAAATCATGATGTCAGCCCCCCCAAAACGCACACTTGCCAACAGTAATGTGTAGACACTTTAATGGAATTTCTTTTGAAATCGCTCATCTCAGCTTTTATGTCAACTTTGCTTCAAAAGGTCGTGCAAAAGTCAGATGTTGGTCTCAAATGTGCTGCTACCCCCTCTGACACTGTGCCACACCCTCCTCCTCTCCACAGAGCTCGATGAACAGAATGGCCATCCAGGCTCTGGAAAAGATGGAGACAAGAAAGTTCAAGGCCAAAGGCAAGGGACAGCGCGAGAGCAGCTGCGGAGCCTCTGATTCGCTGAGCAGCAGCTCCACCTCTGACTGTGCCATTTGTCTGGAGAAGTACATCGATGGTGAGGTAAGAAGAGTTTTTTACCTGGGGTACCCTGAAATCTGGAAGGAATGAAGGAGTTATTTCACTTCTCTGAAGCTTCACATAGGTTTTTTTTTTTTTTTGGGCCGCCTTCGTGACAGACCATATTATCAATCAATCAAACTTTCTTTGCGTGTAGCACTGTTTAAAAATAATAATGGATTGGATTTATATAGCGCTTTTCAAGGCACCCAAAGCGCTTTACAATGCCACTATGCATTCACTCTCACATTCACACACTGGTGGAGGCAGCTACAGGTGCAGACACAACTGCCCTGGGGCAGACTGACAGAAGCGAGGCTGCCATATCGCGCCATCGGCCCCTCTGGCCAACACCAGTGGCAGTAGGGTAAAGTGTCTTGCCCAAGGACACAACGACCAGGACAGAGAGCCCGGGGATCGAACCCGGCGACCTTCCGGTTAAAGATGCGCTTCCCAACCCCCAGTGCCACGGTCGCCCCAGTGTCTTTTAAAACAGAGAAATTGATAATAAAACTGAGCAAAATGTTATAAATCTGCACAAATAAAAAGATGACCATGGATGAAAGGGAAGAAAATAAAGCAAAGCTGGATTAGGAAAGACTATGTGCTGAATGTTGTCTGCTTGTAACAAAGCAAAGCACTTTTATTTGATAACTGCCGACACGTTTTGTTTCTTTAAATCAGATTTTTTTTAAATGAGAATATTTCAAACTGTTAAAGCAAAATGCATAATAATGCAGTCCAGACTAACAGTTTGAGTGACACTTTGCAAAACACCGAAAAGTTCAACACAAACGCAGGACTAATGTAAAACATCTGCATTGAGATGGATGCTTTTAAACGCTTCAAGGTTCACGCAGGCATAAGTGAACCATATGGGAGTCAGAATGCTTAACTCTGGTCGTGCTAAAGCGGTCATCCACCCGCCTCGTTTGTTTTCTTTTCATTGCATATTCTGTTGACATGAAACATAATGCAGTTTTTATGGACAATGGAATGGAAGTCCCCCTGATGTGCTCGGGGACCGCAGTCCTGCGATCTTTAGTGACACGCTTTCCGCTACCTTTTTAGATGTTTAGCTCAGTCTTTCAGAGCACCTGGAGAGATAAGGGTACCCAGAGTGCACTGGATTGTGATTAGGCTTCCTGTTTTCACATTGTGGCCTTCTTTAATCCTTCAAGGAGTCATTGTCAAATTATGTATCCTAATCTTTGTAGATTTACAGTAAGAGCATTGCTCATCCTCGTTCAACGATGATGGGGGGGACAAACCCCAGTGCCCAGAAGGGACGTAGTGGTGTGTGTGTGTGTGTGTGTGCGCGAGAGTTTGTGGTTATGTGTGTCTTCGGTAAGGAGGAGAAGAAAACAGAACAAAGCATGGCGCCAGGATTGCACAGAGGAAGTGGCGATATAAAAGACTGAATGGCATCAAAGCTGTTTTTGAGCAGTGAACCAAGCAACAAAAGAGCCTAAAGATGAGTCATATTAAGCCACACAGTAAAGTATTTGTGGCAGTGAAAGAGTTGTAGCTGGAAAACCAGTGCTCCTGGTTTAATACTTTGGAATTCTTCGAATGGAAAATTATCATATTTAATGGTGTATGAGTAAAAGCCTGCTTTGTTTGAAAACGTGGCTTCATTGAGCATTAAAGTTGCATTTTACTGTGGTGTGAGTCTAGTTAAGTATTGTGTTTGTCCCATGATGTCAAGTTAGTGTTAAAAAGTCAATTAGACTCACGATCAACCGATAACCGTTCAGTGTAGCTTTGCTGCCACCTTCTGGACACCAGGCTTCTCTTAAGTTCACATTAATTCACACTTTCTTAAACTTTTCTGCATATATAATACAACTGCAACTATGAAATAATACATATAAAATGTGTTTTTAAAGGAGACCTGTTGGATACATGGGAAGTTTCAAATAATGTTATCAGAGTATGTGCGAGTTGTCTCTAGGCTCTGTATGATGTCAGAGAGGATGGGTTTATCGCTAATATGGTCATCTTAGGGACAGAGCTATAAATACAACGCCCCCACCCACCTGCCGTTCAAATCTTTTGTTTGCAAGCAGCAGCCAATTAGATGATAGCTGTATTAAAGGAATCAGGGGAACGCTGGCTTAAAGGGTGGGTAAATGGAAATAAATGGCTTGTTTCCTGCAGATAAAATGAGGAAATCTTTTTATACTGCAGTCACTCTTTTAGTAACCAAGGATGGACATATGGAGCTTGAAAGCCCTGAAAGCTGATTCTGCTCATCAGGATGTTTTCTGTCGGAGAAACGTTTCGTCACTGTTCCATGTGACTTTCTTTCTTTGTGGAGACCGAAAACATTTCTCCGTTGGAAAGTACGAACATGAGCATGCATCAAGATATTAGGACTCCTTTAATGCAATATACATATGAATGACTTATTGGTAAGAAATTAATTGGCTTGAAAATGTTGAAAATGTCTTAACTGGGTTTAAGAAAAACCCCCAAAAACTAAATGACTTGTTTGTGTGTTTGATTTTTTTAATTTAATTAATTTATTTTTTACATTAATCATTTGATTTTTTTTTTAACCACTGACATAAACCAGATATATTGAATGTTTTTTAAAATATTTCTAGAATGAATTATTTATCGCACAGTATTATGAGATTTAAAAAGATTATATCAGCGTAATTAAAAATAAGAGCATGCGTTTGATATATTTCATTGCTGTATTTGCTGCTGTTTGTGCTTTGACAGTGCATGAAGATTAACTGCTGAATTTTTTTATTTTCTCCTGCAGGAGCTGCGGGTTATCCCTTGTGCCCACAGATTTCATAAGAAATGTGTCGACCCCTGGCTGCTCCAACATCACACCTGTCCCCACTGCAGACACAACATCATTGGTGAGTTGATGTTCAACCTCTGGTTATGCTGAGGGTCCCTTTTAGAAATGTTTCTAAATGTTGTTTTATTTGTCATCACAGAGCAAAAGAAGGGAAATCCAGGACCAGCATGCATGGACCCCGGCAATCCAGTTCATGGCAGGCAACGAGTGGTCCTGCCAGTTCATTACCCGGGAAGGGTGCACCGTGCTGGTCAGGTGACAGCTTACCCAACTAGAACCAGCATGGACCCGCATGGCAACCCAATCACGGTGCTCACTGTGGACCAGCACCCAGATCCCCAAGGTCTGTACCCACCCCAATCGACGTCGGCCTTTCTCCGGAGCTACCACCCTACTCTCCTGGAGCATTCAATCAACCCTCATCACTGTGGATTAGAGCACCGTGGACCCCCTGCTTACCCTTCACAGCCTCATCATGTTACGTTTAAAAGACCCAAAATCCATAATCGCAACTTCTCCCGGGCAGCCTGTTTTTCGCAGTATGAAACTATGTACCAGCACTACTACTTTCAGGGGCTGACTTTCCCTCAACCTCCTGATGGTGGCCAAGGATCTGCTGTGCCAGGGCAGCTTGGTGGAGGAGGGGTCCACAAGAGCCACCACAGCAGGGCTTTTCAGCAAGGGCTGTTGTACCCCACGGTGGTACACATGGCACCTGCGTCTTCTTCAAGGATAGCTGATAATGGCAGCACTTCTGGCCTTAGCTGCTATCACGGGCACCGCTCAGTGTGCAGCGGCTACCTCGCTGACTGTCCTGGCAGTGATAGCAGCAGCAGCAGCTCTGGCCAGTGCCATTGTTCCTCCAGTGACTCCATGTTGGACTGTACTGAAGTCAGCAACCAGGGGGTCTACGGTAGCTGCTCTACTTTCCGCAGCTCACTGAGCAGCGACTACGATCCTTACGTTTACCGGAGCAAGAGTCCGTGTCGGGGCTCCGGGGGGGAAGCGGGAGCTACGGCTTGCAACACAGTTTCAGCTGAGGACTCATCTTCCCCTGCACCCTTGGGACATGACTGCCTCCAGCTCCCAGCTGGAGCTTCAGGATATAACATGGGGGACCATCTCTCCAACTGCAGTTTGGAGCCCAACTATAGCAGTCGCTCATCACTGGAACCCAGGGAGAACAGCAACAATAGTACTACCTCAGCCGGGGCTTCAGAGGCTGCCGGAGGTGACAGGGGACAGGGGGCACAAGAGGAGTCGGGGGAGCTCGGGGCCGCAGCCTGTAGCTGCTGTTTTGAGGTGCTTCCGCCCAATGTTGAGTGCAAAGGGCAGGACTTGGACCAAGCAGGGCGTCTTGCCTCTGAACGCTGTCACAGGGAAATGGACTTCCAGGGGTCAACCTCCAAGAACTACTTTGCCTCTGAGCAATTGTGCCCTTCCTCTGAGCAGGTGAGCTATGAAGGGCTGCCTTGCTGCTTCTACAAAGAGATGAAAGTCCACAGGGCCACAGCAGGGCGTTATACTGAGGACTACGCTGTTAATGTGCAGTATGCACACGCAGACTCAGAGGCCTGCTCAGGACAGGGCTGCTGCGAACTCAACCAGAGAATACCCATTATTCCTGAGGACACAGATTGTGAATCGGGTACAGGGGCAGAGACCCAGAGCAGTTTATTACCAGTCAGTGTCACAGTGGAGACGGAGTTGCAGACAGGGGAGCAGCGTGAGCCCACGGACAGGTACTTCACCTCAGGACAGTTTAGAGGTCACCCATACCTTCAAGAGGAGGAGACCAGGGCTTTGTTTCACCCTCAGCTCTCTGCAAGCCCCACTGTACTGGGAAGCAGTACTTCAACATATGAGGGAGGTTTGGGCATATGAACCTGAGTCCTGAAAGAATGGGACAATGTATGTGGTACCGTGTCAGTCAATCATTGAAACCCTCAGTTGCCTTGTTCTAGCCTTGCTCTCTGAGCACTGAATGTTATCATCTTAGATTGTGTGGAT